ATGGAATTAATCATGGTGTCCATCAACACATAAATGGATAAAGAAGCTTAATATTTCTCTGAATTGTTTTATAATTCAAGGGAGCTACAGAACACTTTAAGGCAAATATGCAGTGGCTCCTAAAGTTTTACCTTTATAGGATTCCAAGTACTTTTTTCCCATTGTCAATCACTGAGGAGTGATCTATATAGATCTATACAGTTGAAAACCTTATTTAGTGACTGCTTAAAAGAACATGCTCATGAATACCTTAATAGCAGCTTATAAAGCCAAACTTCTTCAACTTGTGGAATCTTGCCAAAGATATTAAATTTTTGCATCAGTGGATTTATGTATAATTGATGCTTTACTCCAGAAGTTGTAGTATTTTATATTTTGGAATCCTCTAGAACCAAATACAGTGAGCTTTTCTATAAATGGCTATATAGTAAATATTCTTTATGGGGAAAGAAGATATTGAATAGGTACCTATACGAAATGAGAGAGAACAAATATTTTTTATTACACAGGTCTAACTGATGAGTACAGCTTCATCTGTGGATAGGCACTAAAATAAGAATTTCATATAATTTTCATGTGCTACTAAATATTATTATTATTTTAATTTTTTCAACCATTTAAAACTATAGAAAAACAGGTTACTGGCCATACAAAAACAAGGGCAGACTATATTTGGCCCAGGGGTCCTAGCTTGTGGATCCTTACTCTAGAGCATTTAGCTGCTGCTGCTGCTGCTGCTGCTGCTGCTGCTGGTTGTTGTTGTTGTTGTTGTTGTTGTTGTTGTTGTTCTTCTTCTTCTTCTTCTTCTTCTTCTTCTTCTTCTTCTTCTTCTGAAATTTTTTTAGTTGTAGATGGACATAATACCTTTATTTTATTTATTTATTTATTTATTTATTTTTATGGAGTGCTGAAGATCAAACCCAGTGCCTCACACACGTTAGGAAAGCCCACTACCACTGAGCCACAACCCCAGCCCCAGCATTTAGCTTCTTAATCAGTAAGTAATCCATAACTATGCACCAGGGGTGAGTATCTTGGGGGCCTTGAACTTCCTAAGGTCATGTGAAGTATTTTGTACACACATGAGTTTTTCTGTGGATAGGGTCTGCAGCTTTAATCTGACTCTTAGAGAAGTCCAAGACTAGAAAAGGATTAGAAGCCACTGTACTGAAGACATTTCATTAATTTTTAGGAGGCATTTCCTAAGTGCCTCATAGTTCCTAGGTACAGTGGTAGGCACCAGGAATTCACAGGGATTCCTATCATAGGAGGTGATATGCAACAGATACTGAGGGTAAATACTTTTCATGTAATCTTATTCATAAAGTCTGTTATCTCTGGCATTATTGTTGTTTTACAAGACTCAGAAAGATGAAAAACCTCTGGTTCTGGGAAAAGAAAAAAAACCTTTTCACATTTTCAAGTATTTAGTGAATAACTTAGGTTCAGATTTGAATATCTGAAATACATTTAAACTTCCAGATTAGTTTAGGCTTCAAAGAGAAATAAAATTCAATGTATTAAGAGCCTTTTTTCTTAGGACTGAGGGAGTAGAACTGTGGTAGAGCATGTGCTCAGCATGCACAAGGCCCTGGGTTCAATCCCCAGCCAAAAAAAAAAAAAAACCCAACCTTTTTTCTTTGAAATAGGATTAACCCACAGATAGATTCACTTTGCTCAACTGACATCAAGGGCTATGATATAGATAGAAGCAGGATTAAGTTGCTTACTAAAGCTGAGTATGTGAGTTTGCAGGCTGTTAGTCAAAGTTAAGCCCTTGAATGTTCAAATTCATGAAATGGAGTAGTTGCCCTGGGGCAGAGGTGGCTGTGAGAAAACAGAAATGTCTATTGGAAAATAAATAAGCAGCTGGGAGTTCCTGCCTCTGCCCCAGGGCTGTGAGTGGACAAACTTGCTTCTTCTCAATAAACAGTGTTATAGAAAGAAATTTATACCCAAGGAGGAAATGGTCATAAAAGCTTTGATACTAATTTTAAAATCTAAAGACAGCATAGTATAGTTCATGGTGAAATCTTTTAAAGATCTAAGAGTTTTCAGCAGCCCTCTTACACTTTGTTTATAGACATTATTTAAAGCTTTTTTTCCCATATGCTTGAAGCATGTAACAGACTTAAGTACGTTAAAATTATTCCAAAGATAATAGAAGTTAACCAGGAAAATTTCCCTGGTGAGTCACCCCCAAAAGGAAAGGAAAAAATAACAGAAGTTCAGAGCTACCATAAAAAGAAGGCATTGCTCATATGTACATTAGACTTGAATATTAAATGATCATTAATTAAATTAATATTGTTAATGATTAGTGTTTTTTTTTTTAATCTGGGAAATTCATCCACCTCCCAATCTTTCAACAGTTTTAGTCCAATGGTTAATAGATATAATAATGGTCTTTTTCTAGTTTTGCAAAAGGCAAAAGCAAAAATTATCCAGGAAAATGGAATGGTGACTTCCGTGAGAAACTTACCACAAAAGTCCCAGAAAAAAATTAAAACAAATATAGTGTTTTTATCTTGAGATCCTTGCTGATTTTGATATAACCATGAATCATTTAGTGAAGTTTGCCTTGTTGCTGAAGCATGCTTGGGTGGCTGTTTCCAAAGGATTTCCTTCTCATGAAATAAAATAATGTCATATCAGCTAATTCCTAGAGTTTCACATCTCATTTGATGAGGCTACAGACTTTTACATCACCTGGACTTAGTTCGGCTGGGTCAGCCCTAAGATGTTTGTCCTCAAACCTTAAACCCTCTCCCCTGACTACTTCACCAACTTTTCTGGCACCTGGTGTCACCCTTTTCCTCTTAAGCTGTCAGCCACCATGCCTTCTTCACTCACCCCAGTGAGTCTTGCCAGTTCTTTGAGGCCAAATTCTTTCTGTCCTTCATAACATATCAAACAGTTAATTTGATAAATTCAACCAAGGCAGAGTGCTAATGGAGGCGTGCTTACATGTAAATTGAATGTGGCTTGTAACAGGAGCTTCTTGGAGAGTCTGTGCTGGTGAAAATTACAAGTCAGCACAGAGGTTGGGGCAGGGAATCTAGGTTGCCCCATCCAGGGTCTATGGCTTCCTAGTCTCCTGTATTTAGAGATGTTCCAATTAGTGTGACTTAGCAAGTCTAGGCACAGCTCGGCAATATATCAGCTTCTTTTTTTTTTTTTTTTTTTTTTTTAGTGAAAGAAAAAGAAAGCAAGAAAGAACACATGTGATTAGTAATACATAATGAAGGGCTGGGGATGTAGTTCAATGGAAAAGTGCTTACCTAGCATGTGAGGGACCCTGGGTTCTATTCTCAGCACTGCCAAAAAAAAAAAAAAAGCAATACACAATGAGCAGCAGCAATTACACAATAACTACCTTACTGAGTCACTACTAGAAATACACTACATCTCATCAGATGTATTATTCACTCAATACAGTTCAAATATTTTTAAAACTCATCATTGATTATATCTGTCAGTCATTCACTATGCATTAAGTACTTTAGAGGAGACAAGAGAAATATCAAAGAAATTATGACTACATTGATAAGTAAAGAAGTTCGTGTGTGAAATGAACTGGAAAATAGCACAGTAAAGTGATAAATTATGTGGTTACAGATAATAAAGGCAATACACATATCAAGCTCTTTGAATCCAGGACTTTTAAAAATAAAAAAAAATCAGTAATAGCCTTTGCATTTCTAAGACTTTTCTTTATAAGTTGTGCTCTAGTTTGTATCCACCCAGTTATCTTATCTCTTCTTGTCTAACAAGGATCCTTATAGTATATTAGGGCCTCCTTTTGAACTATATTATCTGGCCCCCCTAGATAAACACAAGGCTGGGCAAGTCAAGATTCATTTGTGAAGTAGGACCTCTAGTTAAAGAATAAAAAAATATATATAATGACCATATCAATCTCATTTTAGGTAGATAGAAAAAATGGTTAAAGTACTTACTTTTAAAAAAAGTTGGTACTGGGAATTGATGCCCGGGGTGCTTTACTACTGAGTTATAACCCTAGCCCATTATTATTACTACTACTACTACTACTATTACTACTAGTACTACTACTACCACCTGGGATTAAACAGAGGGGTGCTTAACCACTGAGCCATATCCTCAGCACTTTTATTTATTTTGTTTTTGTTTTTAATTTGAGACAGGGTCTCACTAAATTTCTTAGGCCTTAATCTTGTGATACTCTTCCCTCAACCTCCTGAATCACTGGGATCACAGGCATGCAGCCAGCCAAGTATTCACTTTTCTAACCTGCTCTTTTCTTCATCAATTCTTTGCTATCTTCCAAGTCAGTAGACTAAGAAAAGAATCAAGGTCAGTGTTTGGTAATACAGGTGGAACCTATGGTATGAAGGGCAGCCTTAGAGCCAAGTAGTACTGATGGGTAAGAGGGAGAAGGGTGGAAAGAAGGGGGGTTTCAGGAGTACTCAAAGTCCACCTGCAGAGTACAAGCCTGTGTGAGGAGATAAGGGAGATTGTCTGTATATGTGCTGTCACTGGTGATGTGGTTTTTAAGTAAAAACAAAAGTACTGGAAAAAATACATTTGGAATGGGCTGGGGTTGTAGCTCAGTGGTAGAGCACTTGCCTTGCACACATGCGGCACTGGGTTAGATCCTCAGCACCACATAAAAATAAATAAATAAAATAAAGATATTGTGTCCATCTACAACTAAAAAAATATTTTAAAAAATACATTTGGAACAATGAGATTTAAGTTAGTTTATTCATGGCTTAAAATCATGAAGTTTGCTTGATCAGCTTATCAATAAATTTGTTGCTTGAAGAGATTTGTTGCTTTAAAAGAAACTCCCATATAGGCATTACCAGGAGATTAAAAATAAGCCAATCAGAATAGACAATGGTAAACATTGATATGGCTTAGGAAATTCTGATATTTCTGCAAGAATATCATACTGTGCGATAACAGGAAGAATCTGTTTACTTCTAACACTTCTATCCCCTCTTTTAAACATACAGGCTTCTTTTCCTGTGAATCCGTCCCTTGCGGCTAATCCTGCCATGGCTTTCAATCCTTATGTACCTCATCCTGGGATGGGCCTAGTTCCTGCAGAACTTTTACCAAATACGCCTGTTCTGATTTCTGGGAATCCACCTCTCGCGTTGCCAGGAGTTGCTGGTCCAAAACTGATGCGTTCAGATAAACTGGAGGTATTTGTGAAGAAATATATAAATACCTGTAAGGTGGATATTAATCTTATGTATAAAGTAACATTTTCAGAACCCAATGTGTTAAATATTTTAAATAAGTACACCCAAAGGTTTTTAGCCTATGGTATATAATCTCAGAAAAATGTTAAACATTTTATTGCTACGCTTATACCTTATTATTAAGTGCATTGATTCAGTGATACAGTTGGTCAAACAAAGTTTTAAGTGTACCTAGCCTAGACTATGCTATGGCATAGGAAGTCTGGGTGAGAATGCTCCTTATACTCAGGCTCCAGCTTTACAGAATGGAATTACTGTATTTGTTAATGATCCTCTACTTACTAGAATAGTAAACTGGAAAAACAAATTTAATCTAACTCTATGATTGTAAAATGTAAAGTCATATGAATGCAGAATGTACATGAGTCTCATAGTGTTTAAACCTTTTTTCTGTCTTAAGAATTGTGTACTATATCATTAATACCGCATAATACCTAAAGAATCAAAAAGTAGTTTTCAACAGCTTTTGGTTTACTGAAGTCCTTCCATTTTTCCTTAATTGTTGGGGTTTTTTTGTAAATTGAAATAAATGATTAGTTGATTTTGTAGAAAGTTAGCTCCATTGACAGCCCCTTAAATGCCTGATGATGTACTGCAATGGAATCTGATTGTACATGTAACTCAATCATGGTTCACAAGTTGGCCTTGGAAAACTACCAGTGTGTTGCTGTGTGATAAAGACTCATCTTGAATCTTAAAAAAACTAATTACACTTGAGGCTGTGTATTAACTGGAGGATTAAAATCGGTTTTCCATAATACTTTCAGATACAAGTTTAGGTCAGTGTAAGGAAAACAGAAAAACTTTCCTTTGTGGAGGATAGAATTTTTTCTAGAAATGCATTGTCTGTGTTTCCGTCCTATAGTGAATACGGCTTTTGATTAGCCTTCATCTTTTCAGATTTTCCTTAAGTAAATGACAAAATGTATATAATTATCCTTGCATGCATTGGCAAAGCAAATAAAAGCCAACCACCTTCCAGTCATCATACTGATTTGTGTGTGTGTGTCTGTGTCTGTGTTTTTGTGTTTTCTTCTTTAAGGTTTGCCGTGAATTTCAGCGTGGAAATTGTACCCGGGGGGAGAACGATTGCCGCTATGCTCACCCTACAGATGTTTCCATGATTGAAGTGAGCGATAATACTGTGACAATCTGCATGGATTACATCAAAGGTCGATGCTCCCGGGAGAAATGCAAGTACTTTCATCCTCCCGCACACTTGCAAGCCAAACTCAAGGCAGCTCATCACCAGATGAACCACTCGGCTGCCACGGCGATGGTAAGAGCAGACCAGCAGTTGCAGCCTCTCCATTTTGGGGTAAATGATTTATCAAATCAATTTGTCAAATATTCTATAACCATAATGTTGGATAGTCATGAGTGTATCTTAATATGAACAGTCAAGGTTATAAGCTAGATAAAAAAGGAACCTATTTATTCTACTTTATTTACTAAGATTTTCTAAAGGTAATTATTTAAAAGCTTTACTAATGATTTTAACCTACTGTGGCTCTTTCTCCCATTTTCAGAGAAAGGGCGAACTCTATAATTTAAGCAGTAAATTGTTTTTGAGTGCTTTTTATAGTCTAACTACCCTTAATATCCCAGAAAGGCGGAAAGTTGCTTCTGCTCTGTGAACCACTTTTGAGGGCACTTTGCCACTCACATCCTTAATGCTTTTCAGAACAGAGTACTTGAAAGATGGGATATTAAGTAGGTTCTAATTTCCTAAAGGTTAAGGTTACCTTTCCTTTCTGGAGGCCTGGTGTAGGCAAAGGAGAAGACAAAAGACAGAAGCCTGCTAAGGCTATGGGGAGATTTCCTCAGGACTAAGAGAGGCCTGGCTTTTGTATTGCCCTAGTAAGTCAGTTTTGGGGAAAATATAGTTCTACATAATAACACTGAAAGGTTCCTCAAGTATGTCTCAACTGTCAATTAAATGTGCCATTTGCTGTTTATTTCTTTGGACAACTGGAACTTTCCTCATGTAATAGGGTATAACAGCCCAAGATCTCAATACTCATCTGTTTTCAGAACTGAACACATTACTTCATGAAGGATCTGAGCACCAAAGTAGAACATACTTGCTTTTTTCTTTCTTTTTTTTTTTTTTTTGATCTGGATAACATCATCTGTTAAGGAATGTTTAAAAAATCTTCATCAAATATTTTTGTCTTAAATGCTTCTGAATGAGGGACTTTTAAGCTAGGAAAATAGCAAGGAATGCAGAATATAAGCCTTTATTTTTTTAAGAGATAGGATCTGGCATGATGCCCAGGCTGGCCCCTAACTCCTGGGCTCAAGTGATTCTCCTGCCTTAACCTCCAAAGTAGCTGGGACCATAAATCCTTCAGGTTTTTTGGTTTTTGCTTTTGTTTTGTTTTTTCATACCAGGGATTGAACCCTCATATGCTTTATCACTAAGCAATATCCCCAGCCCTTTGTTATATTTTATTTAGAGACAGAGTCTCACTGAATTGCTTTAGCCTCTAATTTGCTGAGGCTGGCTCTGAACTCGTGAACCTCCTGTCTCAGCATCCTGAGCCACGGAGATTACAGGTGTGTGCTACCATGCCCAGCAGTCCTTCAGTTTTTTATTATGTTAGAGTTACATAGAGTTAGGAAAGATGTGAGGCTATTAAAGGAGCAAGAATGCACAAACAGGATGAACAAAAAAAAAAAATGGTTTGCTTGCTCCGTTATGCATCTCTCCCCATGCTTGGACATGAGACCTTCATGTTTCTGCCCATTTCTGATGATCTGAGTATGTTTATAGAATGCAGGTTACATATGAGCATCAAATTTCCATCTGGAGAGCTAAGTATTATGTAGTATGCCCTCAACCGGTACTTGTGAATGTCAATATAAAATTCCTTCCTGAGTAACAGATCACAGCAGGATCTTAGTTGTAAAATCAATTTAGCCCATAAGAATTTCTTTAAGGTAAGACCAAATAAAAAGAGAGCTTTATGAAGATGTTTAATCTTTTTATAATTTTAAGGATTCAAAGTAGAAATGTTTTATAAAAGGGGAGTTTTTACCTTTTGCAGACTTATAGCTCAGGTTGACTTTGTTGAGAGCAATTTGCATACATTAAAAAAAAAAAAAACTTGGATGGACTGGGGCTGTGGCTCAGTGGTAGAGCTCTTGCCTAGCATGTGTGAGGTACTGGGTTCAATCCTTAGCACCACATAAAAATACATAAATAAAATAAAGGTATAATAAAGACTTGGAGGGTTGATAATTATTTCATCCACACTTAACTACAACTTTGGTAAGTTGGCAAGATTGTGATGAGGGCATTGAGGCCTTAGCCAGTGTTGATTATTGAGAAATACTTAATGGCAGTATAAGTACCAGCCAATCAGAACTGGGTGCTAACCTGTCAAGATAGACCCCAGCAATAAATCAACAGTACTTCCTTGCCAGGAACCATGAATCAAATGTCCATCTAGGCCTTTCCTCAATCTGTAGTTTACTGGGCAACACAAGTTTGATTCTGATGATCATACATGCTCCTAACTTTCTAAAGAAAGGGACACCCCCACCATACTAAACCAAGGGGAAATCTTTTAAATAACCTGTCCTACTCTATTGAAGTCTTCAGGTAATCCATTTTCCCTCAAAGGTGATAAAAGGCCTTCAAAATGATCAATTATGCTTTAAAGTTTATGATTTTAATCATGACTTTTGCCACGTCTTTCTCTCAGATCAGTTTGGAAATCTAAAGCTACTTGGTTTATTTCCATCTCACTTTTTTAGGAGATGGAAATAAACTAAGAAAAAGGCAGACCTGTCACACTCTGTGCACTGATAGCAGAGTCCCCCCCCCCCAAAAAAAGAAATAGCTTTAGGCCCTTGATAGCCACAGGAATAATAAGGTCATGGCATAACCCTTTTTGCAAAGCTAGTGACTCTGCACAGGTGTCAGTATCTCAATAAGAATTTGGAGCATACCTAATGGTTGTTGCTGGGGCATGTTTTTAAAGTAATGTGCAATTTGCTGAGGGAAAAAAATATAATGTTAAACTTCTTCAATGGATCTGGAGCAGGTCTGAGTACTATAAGCACAGTGGGATTTTGAAAGAAATGTAGACATGAAAGAAGGGTTTAAAAGGCTGATAGGTTTTAGAATTAATCCTTACAGGATTTTACAAAGCAAATGGTGCATAATAAAATGCACAGTGATCCTCTAAAAAACAGACCTGCATATATTTTGCTTAACTGTATATCATACCCAGGTGTGGTAGGTGGCAGGGGAGGAATGATTGACTTTCTTTTTCCTTACATGTGAGTTAGGAAACATACACTTCTGGGATTTGAACCTGAGGTCTTTGTATTAATTAGATTTTGTTTTGTAGGTCTCGGTATCAGACTCCAATCTAACAGCATCTGTTTTATCATCTGTATGCCTCGTATCTCCTAGATCCATATTGGAATTTTAACTGGCAGGATTTTCTTTGCTGCCATACCTGTTGCTTCTGCTAATCTCATTTTTACAGATTAATAGATGAGCATTTCTATGATGCTAATTGTAAATGTATTTGCTGTAATAGTTTTCTGTTGCATCCTGTTCAAATGACATCTCAATTAGGGATGTTGAAAAGCTTTTATTTTTTCCCTGGTATTTTTATCTTGTGTTTTGGCCTAACTGCTTATTCAGTGAACTACTTCATCTCTGCAGTTGGTTACCTTGCTGTGCAGCTGCTGCTTATTGAATGTCTTGCTCAATGGATACCTTTGCAGAGAATTCCCAGCCATTCATTATATAACTACTGCTTGTTTGATTTGACTATATTTTTTACTCACTCTGTTACTTGTGATTAACCCATCCCTCCCCCACAGGCCCTGCAGCCTGGTGCACTTCAACTGATACCAAAGAGAACGGCCATTGAAAAGCCCAACGGTGCCACCCCGGTCTTTAATCCAAATGTTTTCCACTGCCAACAGACTCTGGCTAACATGCAGCTCCCACAGCCGGCATTTATCCCAACAGGTGAGAACACAGTGCTGGGCACCTCGAGTTTAGTGATATTGTGAATATATATGATGCAAAGCAACTTTCAAAGGGCTTTCATGGGAGAAATATCCACATGCATTTTGACTGATTAGAAATAAAACAAGGCAATTATGCTTGATCTGTTAATACTTGTCAAACAACCTGTTTTTCTATGATTCTGAAAATTAATGGTTTGAAATCAAAGTAGGAGAAAGTCTTAACTTTTTTTTTTTTTTTTTTTTTTTTTTTGCTTCTTGTGATTGATTTGCTTGGTTTGATCTCAACTAATTCCTTGACTCTTAGGTATCACTTTCACAGACAGCAGGCTGCTACCCCCCAAAATAAAATAAAATAGAAAATAATTCCAGCATCAGCATTACAAAACGCTGTAGTCCATAGATTGTGATATACCAAAGGCAGTTATTTTAAAACTACCCTTAAATTTACATGAAGTATAGTATGGCACAGTATAGTATATATAAAATAAGAAGTTTTAGCTTCTAACTCCTGAACAAGTTAATATGAAAACATAGCAGTTTGTTACACTTTCTGATACTTTGTAGCATATTTTGTATTACTTCCTACATTCATCTATATTTAATAGTATAACAGTTTTGAGCCTAATTGAGGAGAAAATTTAAAGCCAGAATTTCATTCAAATAAATATCATATATGCAGAAAATAATTTTCTTCCAGTGGTTTTTACTTTAAGAGTAAGCATATGGTGCCTTAGGAATAAATTGAAAATACTAACCACTGAAAATAAAAATAAACTTTTTTCCCCCAGAATCCTAAATGTCCAACTTTGGAAACTATTATTAAAAGAAAATAATATCTGCTTTAAAATTCTATTTAGAAAGCCTTGTTAATTCTGAAAACATGAAGAACATGTAGAATATATACTACAACTTGGAAAAAACAGTTAATTAATAAATCAATCTGTTAATTAATTGTTTTAAAACCAATCTTTCATTACAGACCATGGACTTCTTCATGATACCATTTAAGTTACACACATTTATATAAATAGTTTCTGAGGAGGAAAAATTGAATTCTTTAGTATATTTTTACATCACTTTATAAAAAGTAACTACTGATATCTAATGGTTTTAGATTTTTCCCCAAAACCTAAGAAAAAATATGCAATGTCCACAAAGTAAAAAAGAGAACCATTGTGGGTTGAGGTAACTTTATTTCTGGTGGTTTTTCCCTTCAAGATTTTTAGTCATTTGCTAGGCATGGTAGTACATGCCTGTAGTCCCAATGGTTTGGGAGGTTTAGGCAGGAGGATCACGAGTTCAAAGCCAGCCTCAACAACTTGGTGAGGCCCTAAGCAATTCAGTAAGACCCTATCTCTAAATAAAATATTAAAAAGGGGCTGGGGATATAGCTCAATGGTCAAGTGCCTCTGTTTTTAACCCCTAGTATCCCCCAATAAAAGATTTTTAGTCATTTCCTACCCATTAGATCTCTCCAGTTTGGCTGCTTCCATTTGTATTTTAGAATGAGTTGCATAGTTCAGGAGTATTAGCCAAGGTGGTTGAATGTGGAAAAATATACATTGTTCACTCTACATTTCCTTTTACATTTCCTTAATCTGTTGCTTTGTTTAGAAGTTAGACTTCTTTTTTTTTTTTGCCAGTTTTGGCCAGTATAAAATCTAGATTTACATGCAAAAAATGTGAGAAAATTTCCCTTTCCTTTAATCAATAGCAAAATGAAAAAACTCTCTGGCTGAGGTTCCTTTCTTGAGGGAAATAATCTTGTCATATGTTCATAATGAAGTCCTCAATTTCAATGAGATGGAGGAGGCAGTGTTAATAGTTTAATGCTCTAAATAGGAAAATAGGCACCAGATACAGATACCAAAGCATGTTTTGAAAAGACTATGTGTAACAAATGAAATTTTTATGATAAAAATTACTTATTACATATTTGCCCAGAATAAATATATAATTTAAAAGAGATAATTTCTTTACAGAAAAATTAAAGTTCATTTTTTAACCTAAGAATTCAAGAATTACTTTGATTAACTGGGTTTGTCATCTTAATGCTAATCTGTAATTATAAGCATGAAGGATTACTGGATTTGCATGTGCTGATTAATTGATATTTCAAATAAAGTATCTTTCTAGTTAAAAATTCATTTCCATCTGTAAAGCCTTAATAATGAAATCTCTCTTTTCTTTACTTTCCACGCTTTTCTGCATGGTGTACAGGGCCAATACTGTGCATGGCACCCGCTTCAAGTTTTGGTAGGTTTTGTACAAAAATTCTCAACTTTTTCTAATCTAAAAATATGTTATTCTACTGTGATTATGAAAGAGATGAGTGACAGAATGATATGATTGGTCATTTTCTGAGTATTTAACATTTACTATGGTGCTTTGTGGAACTAAAATAATCCTATTTTGTCAAGTCCTAGGTAGTTGCCACTGTGGCCAAATACTGACCCTGCCATTTTTCTATTTCCATCCCCCAAATAATAACAACTGACATGTTTCTTTTCCTAGAGAAACTGGGCAATTTAAATATAGTAGAATGGTACACTTAAAAAAAGAGGGGGGGGCTGGGGATATAGCTCAGTGGGTAGAGTGCTTGCCTCACATTCAGAAGGCCCAGTGTTCAATCCCCAGCACTATGAGAGAGAGAGAGAGAGAAATTGGGCAAATATATATATATATATATATATATATATATATATATATATATATAATTTTGAAAGTGTAAAATATTTCAAATGTTTAAAGTACAATGAAACAGTTCCTCCCCTAAAAGTTTATCCAGATGACCTAAGCCATTCAGTACTCTGATGTTAAGAAAGAATGACCTAAGCAAAACATTCTTCAGTGTTCTGTGCTGAAATCTGTAGTGTTCTAGGATGAAGTGCTATCTGCACAAAAACTAGACACAGCAGAATCATTTTAAAAATGACTCTTTGGCAGTTATGACATTTTTAGCAATCAGTTACGTACAGATCCTTTAGTTAGCCACTAGCCACCAACACAACCTGGTAGCCATCTCCAAGCCATTTTACCCATCACAAATACTGAAAAGAATGAGAAAACAACTGGGGAGTTTACAGGTCCTAAACTCCTCATAGGAAGCAGGAACAGATCAGGAGAAAATAGCTTTTTTCAATGCAGGGAGGAAAGTCCCACCCTTTACAAACCCACAATCTCATATGAACCCAATTCCTCCCATCCTTTTTGAGAGTTTGCAACAACTTGACATTCATCCCATTAGTGGAGTAGAGTAGTTACAGTCTCCAAAGGCACTAACAGGCTTATGCAGATAAAATAAAAAGGTCAAGATGATGGCCGCATAGAAACAGCACTCACTACATAGTAAGTTCTGACCCCTGACAACAGGAGTGAGGCCTCTGTTATTGAGGGATTAGCTTGCCCTGTAGGAATTAACAACATGTCCATTGATACTAACTGGAACATTCTATGCATACAGTTAGAAGAACAGACTTCTTCAAGTTTGAGATATGTGTCTCTGTGTTGACATTTGGTGACCTGTTTCTTGGGGATGTTTCCCTGTCCTTTTACTTTCAGAGCTCTGCTTAGGAATGCAAATTGCATGCTTTAGTGCTGCTGCTTCCTGTGTAGTTGCTGTGCTTCCAAAGGGGAAATAAGATTGTTTTTCAAATCAGCATGTGAGATAATAAAGGGATAACTGTAGGTAATAGGTAGCTGGAGTTGAGTGGAAGGGATAAGTATGGAGTTTCTGTTAATAGCCATTTGGGATAACTTTTTGGTTTCTATAACATTACATGTGGCCATTCACTTTCTCAGTAGGCTTTCAGAAAGTCTGAATTCAATTAATATAGACACAATAAGTTATCGTATACCTGCCAATCACACATCAATTTCCTGCTTGACTTTCCAAAGTAAAATGGAAATCAGAAAAACATAGAAAACTTTCAGAAAAAAAAAAAACTAGAGAAGGCAAAAAAAAAAAAAATCCTGAAAAAGATTTTACAGTTGCTAGCCATTGTAGCACTAATACTGATTTTACAGTTGCTAGCCATTGTAGCACTAATACTGGTTGTGAAGACAAAATTTACTATGAAGGACTCCATGTATATGTTTGATAAATAGCCAAAGTTTCCAAGGAACTTGTCAGAGGTGTACCTAAAAATCTGCACAAATAGTCCACTGAAGTCTTGATATCTGCTCCCCTACTACATACCCACCAATTAAACTACATTTTTTTATTTGCAGGCAGATCAGGTAAGTATACATAAAACTGCCCCTTTGCACTTGCAAATCCAATGGCAGTAATTCATGTCCATAAAAGTCAGTGAATTCAAACACAAATCCACAATTCCCTAATCTCCTTTAAAATATGCAACCAGTTACTCGTCTGCTTAACTAGCTTCAGATAGATAGCCTGGTAGTATTAGGTATTTTTTCATATACATTCATTATAACCCTTTTTGAAAATTTGACCTATTGAGTCAACTACAATACAATACTGCTCAAAAACTTACTAAATGTTGAGAATGGTTCCTTTTTCCTTAATAGTAACTATAATTGGATTTCCCCTTTTCTCTTTTTAAATTTCCCTCCTCCCATGCCGTGTTGCTTTGCACTGACTGTGATTGCATGTTGCACCCTGGTGTTTCCATCATGATGATGTCACTTGGCTTGTTGCTGTGATACCTACCACACCCCATTCCATCGAATGTCATCATTGCATAAATGCTCCGCCCTCCTGTGTGTCGCTTCCATGGTTTCCTACTGAAAGTGCCCATGATGCACGGTGCTACACCTACCGGTGTGTCTGCCTCAACAACACCTGCAACCAGCGTTCCCTACGCTGCAACAACTACAGGCAATCAGGTTTGGCCATTTATTTCACCTGTTCAGACCTAGAAAACTACAATATGTTGGGAAGGCACAGTGTATGCTTTTTGGATTGGTGAGAGACACTGGTCCATGTATTTGCATGTTTCTTAAGCAATTGTCACATTTACAAATTTTACTTTTCTATACATTCTAAGATGCTGTATATACTTTGCCATTCATCCCAAGGGTGATTGGTGGGATTCTATTCATTTTTAATCAGTGAACAGATGTCATTCTTGATATTCTATAACTAATTTTTTGCTACCATACCAATCCTGAAATGTATATACTGTACTATTTCATAAATGCTTTCTCATTGGTCAAAATGAGAATTGATTTTCCTGTCATTTTTTTTTATTATTGTGCTTGAACTTGGACTTAGTACAATCATTGCTTTTACTTTCAGATACATTGGAAAGAAAGCAAGGCATCACATTTCTTTCCAAGGCACAGATCTATCCTTATCATTACCCAATGATTACATCAGACATTCCATCTCATACAAACATTAGATGTGCTTTTGTTGTTTTGATTTTCATTTTCTTTAGGTATTTTTCTGACAGAGTCACTGGCAAATTAGTAGTATTTGGGGAGTCTTGAAATTTAAGATGGTTACATATGTATGAATACAGCACAATGAATCTCCATATTATGTACATCCACAAGACTGGGCTCCTAATTAAAATAAGACATACTCCATGTTTGTATAAATATGTCAAGATTGACTCTACTGCCATTTATAGCTAAAAAGAACTAAAAAATGAAAAAATAAAAATATGATAATTATTGAATAATGCTGTTCTGCCATAGCCAAGTGTTAACCATGCCCACAGACTAAAAATTCCTCTGCTACTTAAATTACAAGCATGATCACCATGAAACACACAGAGCATTAATTAATTATGGAGCAAACCACATTCTAATCTGTGCTTTGCTATTAGTGGAAATAGTTAATATGTCTAAAGTTTAAAAATTATATCTAAGGTTTTCTGTGAAATTGATTATCATCATTGATTACCATGTCCAAGCAGTGAACAAAAGAAACAGAATTCTCTCAAGAAATCATTTTAATCTAAAATCTTTTTTACTACTGTAGATACCCCAGTTATCAATAGATGAACTGAATAGCAGCATGTTTGTTTCACAGATGTAGAAGTTACCAGTAGAACAGTAAGTTTCTTTAAGTATTAATATAAATAATATTTTTAGGTTTTATCTTTTTATTTACACAATGTATTTGCTACAGCTTTGCTAAATATTTTCATTGAAATATCACTTATGACTTAGATCTTGATGTATACATTCTAAATTTTCCAAATTGAAATGAGAAAGCAAAATGCAATTTTAATATGGAAATGACAGCTGATAACTGGGAAATACAACTTACAAATTCTGCAATGGTTGCCTGTTTTTAAAGAAGTGTGATTTGTTAGCCAAAGATATAGGTTGCTTTTGAACTCTAATTCCTAAACATTTTTATAGCTTTATTTTTTTATTGAAGTAAAAAAGTAGAGCCAGGGATGTAGCCCAGTGGTAGAGTGTGTGCCTAATGTGTGAAGCCCTGGGTTCAATTCCCAGCACTCCCCCCAAAAGTAATATTTGTTAGGATTTAACTGAGATGATTATCTTAAAGACAGTGTCATGCTTCTCAGATGACATTGTGGAAAATAGTGCATTTACAGTCAGCTGCCTTATGTTGTTTCCCACATAAGTCACCCAGAATTGCTCCAGCTGTTTCGAGTTATGAGTAGCATAATCAAGTGATTTAATCATTACTTTCATTGAAATCATGTTATTTTAAAATTCTTTTGCTCTTGGATTTTTCCCCTATGCCCTTGATCTCCTCTTTGCCTAGTATGGAGCCCATGGTAGCACATACTTTGAGCAATTATGCACCTGAACCTGTGTCTTTTGAAGCCACTTAAGAGAGCTAGGTATATTAATTCTAGGGACTTATTAAATAAGTGTACCAACTCTGAATTACATACATTAGTCATTGAAAATTTGAAGTTCTCACAGCCACATTGTCATTTGAAGGAGGCAGCAGTTATGTTCCCAGCTAATCCTTCTGTGCTGCTGAGGATACACAGGCCACCAACTCTGTTTTGAACAGAGCTGATTGCCAGATGTACAGCAGATAAACAAGTCCTTTTCATCATAAGGACTGTTTTTTAAAAAAGACACTTCTGAATCCATGGGATAACAGAAGGAAGCATAAATGGTAATAGTTTTCAGGGATGTTTTTGGGATAGTGGCAACTTGGGCAAAGCACCATACATGAGAATGTAGATTTTTGCCAACACCTTGCTCCCTTTTCAATGGCTATGCATGTCAAGGTAAACAAAAGTCATAATTATAATTAACTTTCTAACAAAATACACTTAAGAAGAATGATTCTTTTTACTTGTTTCCTTTGGAAAATGTAGAGGCATTCGATATGTAAGAAGGGTTGAAAATTTCTCCAGAGGTCAGAACAGTTTTATACATTACTATATGCCTAACTTAGGCTATTTCTGCATGGCTTTAAAACACTCTGATAGTGAAGTTTACTTACTATTGGCATATTTCAAAGTGTTTGGTATTGAACATGTTTTTCCAATATGTACCTGTTGAAGGAGATCAACCAATGGGTGGATGATCTGCAAAAAGTTTTGGTATTGTATAGATAATGCCTGAAACAACGTATCTCTTTTAATTGAGGGCAGTTCTCCACAATAACTCTCACTGGAAGTTTCCCATAGACTGTCATAGCTGTCGCTATTTACTGATCATTCACAACAGCCCCATTTTCACAGATGCATAAACAAACTGAAATTCAGAACTGAAGCAAGAACTAGTATCCTAACTCCTAGTACAGTAACCCTTCAATATGTCTCACTCATTCTCTTGTTTTTCCCATTTCAGTCGAAATTCTGAACAGCAGAGTCACAGAGTACCGGAATCTCTCCATGAGAACCTCCATATGGCCTTTCTATATGTATTCTCAAATGTCCTCTTCTACCAACACAACAATAAGCATGGTGCAGTCAATATATTAAGCAGAGAGAATGTACCAGCCAACAAATTTGAATAAAAAATGAAGCATTAAAAATCAGCGAAGATGGTAAAACAAGACCCATATAGAAAGCTAATAACTACTACCCATCTTGTTTGAATTATCAGGTAGAATATTGACCATAAAATTTGTGATTTTCCAATAACCAGTATGCTAAATTAATTTCCACACTGTACTGTTGGCTTACTCTACATTCTTGGTGGATAAACTATCTGTTTTTGAAGTGTTACCTTACTATTGTGTTTACAGGATAGTCTATTGGGTTGATTTAGAATGTAACAAATATGTCCAGTACCATCTTCCCCATCGTTGTGTTGTACTGGTTTGGGTTGCATTTAGTCTTACATACTATAGTGTTTTGCTGTATATGTGTGGTGTTTGGTAAAAATTAAAATGTTACTAGTGGGGAACAGAAGTATATGTGCTTGAAAACATGACAGGATTATGTTAATATGCTCTCTTTAGAATCTTTCTGTAGGTTTCTAGAGGCAGATATGTAAAAGGCCTCACTTTTGAGTGTGCACAAAACCTGGTCATAAACATGCATGTATATAATTTGTACCTGTAGATCTGACCCTGCATAATTCAGTAAGCTTACTAGATTTTTTTGTGAGAGAGAAATAATTACCACCCAAAGTAAGGAACTTCTTCAAACATGAACTCCTAATACACTCCTTTTAAATGGCCTAAAAATGGAGAATTTTTCCTTTTAATGAAGTTCTCAGCATTTATACTAAAAATGATATAAAGTACCCATTACATTTTTTTTTGTATCTCAAGAAATCCTGTCTCCTAGGTTGAGTGTCTAAAATTGAGCCATTTGTCATCTTCAGCTGAGAAACTGGTACTTGGGAGCTTAAAGGTATGCTAATTGCAGGTTATAAATCAAACAGAAAGATGGGGGCATGGAGATAGTTTTTACATACTGGCAGAAAGTGTGTAAAACCATTGCAATGTAACCTTTTACACAAGTGCCATTTCCAAATGCAAATGGCTCATGCTCTTTAGACTACTCTTTGAATAATAAGTAAGATGCAATCTAGCAAAAGTCAGTCAGGGTGAAAGAGAATTGGTTCCAAATGAGGCCTTTCCTCCCCAAATGGACAATCTTCTCTATTGATCACAGAGGGAGCCTGAGTACAGGTTCAGAGAAATTGTAGGTTTGGGGGCAGGGAGACATTTAAAATTACTCTTTGGTTTATGCAAAAGAACTTGAAAAGGTGTCCACAATTGTCTTTAGCTTAAGTTTAACTGAATTTCCAATGCTGTTTAACATTTTAGTGAAGGAGCCAGCACCCATGACACGTGACAAGTGTTTCCCTGGCCAGATTTTAACATCAGAATCCTTTGCATCATAAAGCTTTTTTATTGTTTGGACTCATTAACCTTTTTATATGTTCATAGAGAGATATTAGCACACTTTGATTAATATAGAGAGGCTATATTCCACAGAGATGAGCTGAATTTTCATTACTAATACTTATAAAATAGTTGCACACAGTAAAAATAGAAATTAATCCATTCCTGTGGTACATACATAGCATACCTCCTCCACTCTACTGAGTTATTAACATTACTCTTATACAGTGGTAGAAACATATGATATTTTACACAAATTAGATTTAATATTTTCTACTAAATATATATTCTCCCATGGGAAAGTATAAAAACATAAAATATATATGTTGTTTTTCTCCTTCATGAAAATGACAATCAAAGAAAAAATCTGATTTAGGATATCAAAAGCCAGCTGGTAGGTTTGAATTGTAGAAAAATAGAGTTGGCAAAGATTTTTCACAGTTGATCAAACTAAGACCCAGAGCAGGTAACTTGCTCAGGGGTACCCAGCCAACTGTGGGACTCAGAACTACCAGTTGTTCCTTCTCCTCACATTTTGCTTCAGAACATTTCAGACTCCATAGGCAAAGCCTGAGCAAAGCAGTTTGGCTCACAATACAAAAGAACAAAATTATCCCAGGTAGTTTGTATCCCGTTTATCTTAACTATCAATCCAAATCCTGGTCAACAGTGATTTCTAGTCAGTCTTGCTTGTATTGAGCCACTGTTATCTGTTAACAGTGTTGCCTGGAGCAAGAGATCTAGAGTTGTCCTAACTTTTCCCAGTGGACTCTTTGAACCACTTAATTTGTTTCCTAAAATCTTAACACTGCTAGAAAAGAAAGTAGAGTATGCCTTTTTGAAATGTCTTTTGTATGCAACTGAATTTTGTATAATCTGTGCCAGTGCCTCTCCAGAATGGCAGATCTGATCACATAAATCCAGGAAGGAAGCACCTGAGCTGATCAGTGGAGATGAAATTTTTGTGCAAAATGAACTTTTTAAACTTGTGGCAAAGATGTACAGAGACAACAAACCTAGAGTTCAGCTGTTTTCCTATTGCTTTAAGCACTGGAAGACATTAAAAATGACTTATTTGTAGTAAGAGATTCATGGGGGATATCCATGATAGTTGTATTTTGGAGCCACAATTTTCTATACTGTTGGCATTTTTAAAGTTGTTATGAAAATGAATTTAAAGAAAGAAAACTCAAAGCCCTAAAGTTTTGATCAAATTCAACAGAGTTTTGAGAGAAATGAAATTTTAAGATAGTACTCTTTAAGCTAGTTGTGCAATGACTTATTAAGATTATCTTTTTTCAAGAGAAAACAAGACCAATAAGTCATTAGACTATAAATTTCAAGTTATAAAGACAAGTCACAAAATCAGTGACTCTAAGCAAAAATTTACTGAATGAATTGTATATATGAAATTCTAATCACTTGTGATTCTTAGTTAACAGTTTATAATCTTTGTAGTTTATAAGGGCCTCTATTTTTATTTATCCAAAATTATGGGTTTTGTCCATTTTTCTCAGCCTTTTGCAGAACTATGCAAGAGTGCTGAAACTTGGATGAAATGGGTCATCCATACAGAAAAAGTAATCTAAAAATACCTTTTAAGAGGGTTTTAGTAGTTTCAATTTTTACCAAAAGCACTATGTGACCATAGCATAAGTATATTTTAAAGAGGGATTAAGATGAAATTAAAATAATGGATTCATAAAATTGCTATTTAAATACAGTATTTACTTTCGCAATGAGAGCATGATTCCACTCCCAGCTGTTTCATTTCATTTCACATTTCTAGATTAGTCTTTACTTTGTAGTTAATCATGAAAGCCATCTTCTCCCAACTCCATCCATTTCTGAACATGCTAAAGCACTTTGATCTTGCCATGAGTGTTGTCCTACAGCACTGGCTGTGTTCACTAATGGGAGCCCTTAGCTCACCTGCTCTCCAACTTGGGAAAATGCCAGTACCTTCTCCCTGCCATCAGCAGGAACCAACTGAAATTAGCCTTTACAGCCTGAATCACTTTTTAATGCCATGACCAGTGAGCATAATGATGATGTCTGAATAAGGAACCAGATTTACAATTGCATTTAATGAAATAAGTGAGAAGGTTCATGTGCTACTTGGAAAGTTATTTGGTTCTTTTTCCTCCTCTTTGGAGAGTGTTGATGAGGTTGCTCTCAGGTAAAGTGCAACCACAAGTTTCCTGAGTTCTTTTAGTCTGTAGAGTAGGCTGTGGCACTCAGAATGATTAGAAACTGGAGTCTTAATTCTTTTCATCTCTCATACATTGAAATAGATACAAGTAAAATTTAGGCGGGAAATTTGATTTCCCAATTTGATTAATAGATTTAGTAACATAGTGGCCTAGTTTAACAAGTACCTGTTGAAGGCAATAGAATAAGTAGCATTTAAAAAATATAACTTTTTTTAGAAAATGTAGTTGCTAGTCTAATCAGTCTGTAAATATATAACTACAAATATAGGTTTCTGAGCACCATCACTAATTGGTGCCGTGCTTTCATTTTTTTATTGTTAGTTTTTAAGATTCTTATTTTATTACTTTTTGTATCTCTAAGTAACTGATGGATTTAATTTTGAAAGAGAGTTAGGGAAAGTATAAGTTTTTGCTACATATATTCATTCCATCTGGATAAGTTCTAAACTGACATTGAAGCATGGCAAATGTAGATTACAGTCCATAACAACTCTCTACAGTTCACAGTTTAAGAACAAATTTACCTTTATACAAAAAGAATAATTATTAACTAATTATATTTAGTCGTTGCGTTGGCAACAAAACTACAACATGGCTACCTTTAGACGTTGTGTGTGTGTGTGAAATTTTTATTTGTAAACTATACATGGTTTGTGACAGTATGAGCATGTCAAAGCTACAGCTCAAAACTCAGAAAACAGATATGGTTGAATTTTTTTTTAAATCCCTAAGTCTCATGTGAAAGCTGAATTTGTGTCCTTGTGTGACTTTTTGGTCAAAAAGTTTACAACACATGGATTTTAGAGTCAAGCTTTATAGTTTATAGAATTTGTTGTGTGGATTGGGTTATTCCTCAGTATTTTGACATCAAAACAGAATTGTTGAATATATAAAATATTACCTGACTCTTTTTTTATAACTAAAATTATCCTAGTCATGTAACATCTGTAGCTGCAAAATTTCTGTTTTACGTATACAATTACATGAGGATTAGAGGATGACTAAAATATTTTTTGAAATCAATTCATATTTGCAAAACCATACATAAAGATACTGTGGAATGACCCCTTGACAGTGTTTAAGAGACATATGCTGCCGTTACCTGATTGTCTCAGTTAGGGTGCGGATGTGTGAGACACACCTTTTTTGCACTTATGTACATAGTTCATGAAAGCAATCCTTGGAGCTTTTTTTTTTTTTAACGTAAGAAGTCTGTGATGATAGTGGAAACATTAGTAAGAAAGAGTTATTTCTAAGGCCTTGAGAAGGAGGATTTTTTGCTTTGCTGTTGTGGATGCTTTTCTAGTTTGCTACAACTCACTATAAGAAAAGGCTGGTAACAGAGAAAGGTCAACTTTAGCTAACAGCACTAAACAAGAGCAGAAGTATTTCTTTCAGCAAGACAACTAACAATGATTGTTTGCTTTGTGAATTAACCCCCACTGGAAATACACACACACACACACACACACACACACACACACATGCACACACACACCAAGTGGGTTTCTAGAAGGAATTTACTTTTTTAATGATTGCAAGCAGTTAAATATACTTTAAAATTACAAAATAGTTATTCTCATTATGTTAAAATCAGATTTCATCTTTCCCAGAAAATTATTGCTATATGCATCAGTTAATATGTATGCCAACTAATGTGTATTCAAGGAATAGTCAAATTGTTACTGTTGACCTCTATTCCTCCTTTAAGATTCAGGCCCCCAAACAAATAGGCAGTCAAAAGAGCTTACTTACCAGTTAAGTGTGACCAGTATAGGGCAGTTCATCCCCTTCAACAAAGGAAAACAAGCTTCTGACACAACTTTGGAAATAACTTTATTTACATTATACCTGCTCAATGGAAGCTATTTTCTGACCTGATTTTACTAGATTACAGAGTACTTTGATGTGCCACTTCAGCCTCCCAATATTTTGTTTTAACTAAGGAGAGAACTAGCCAAAATCTTCCATAACATAGGAGCTGAAAGAGAATGTTTCAATCTGATCATTTCTGCCAGTTTTAGCTCCACACCACCTAGAAATAGACATGGAACTTTCTTATCCTGCCCAGGAAATGAGACAGGAAATGTTGAGGTTAGATAGGTTAAGGGAAAGATCACTCTAGGTCTTTTAAGTCCTTCACAAATTGGGACATGTAGCTCTTGTTCTCAAGAAGCCCATCCTGGGTTTAAGAGAGCTGCAACTGGAGCATAGCAGCCCATTTTTCTAGTTCTCACAGGATAGAAAATAGAGCTAGGGATGTGGCTCAGTGGTAGAGTGCTTGCCTAATATGCACAAGGCCCTGGGTTCAGTCCCCAGCACACACACACACACACACACACACACACACACACACACACATACACACACACAAACAAAAAACAGAGAGACAGAAAAATAAGCCAAAGTCAGAAAGCAATCCAAGCCTTACAGTTGTCAAATAGCTCAGGGCCAGCTGGTTAGAAATTTCTCTTTTTTTTTCTTTTTACCTCCTCATTTCATAAGCACTTAAGAGTCAGTCATATAACCATACAACTAACAGCCTGACAATCTAACCACCATTTCCATTGATGTAAAATGTCAGCATTCATTCATTCTATAGTTAAGAATTCACCAACATAATTTCCCAATTTAACCTATGTCCTTGTTTTGACATAACCTTGTGAATATATAAGCCACAAGAATATATTTTCATAAGGTCAAGAGAGAGATGAGTTTTTTTGTGGTTTAGTTTATTTTATTACCATGCTGAGGAGAGAATCCACAGCCTCATGCATGTTAGGCAAG